TTTCGTAGCAGCTCAAAGTGCCAAACCTCAACATTCAGCCACAATCATGCAGGTGCTGAAGGCCATCGTACTTGGAACCCACAACGAAGTTCGTAACTGTTACTGGTGCTTAAGTGTGGACAATCTCCAAAATCTCTTTGAAGCTTTCAAGCCAAAGTTAGCAATTCATCATGCTCATTATAGTTTTAGTATCTCCCTTACAAAATATATAGATATTGTCTCTACAACCGTTGCGTGCTAAATAACTCTTTTTTAAGCGGCAAATACTTCCTCCGCATCTTGTATGCATAAGGTGATACAAATTTTTAAATCCATTGTGACAGGAAGAGTACCCTAACCCTGAACAACTTTCACTCTTAAGATAATCGCTGGAGAGTCACACGAAAGGAAAAGGTGCTATATAAGAGATTAACGATGACTTCATTAATATAATAGCTTTTAAGGTTTCAATAGGCCTAGAGCATTTTGAAAGCTTCTATAGTGTTGCCGGTAGTGAAATAAGAACAATTGATGAGATTACGAATAATATAAATTTCTTTGCCTATCATACTATAGACAGGCTAAATTCAGTAGCAAGTCTAAATGATCACAACTTTTCAAGAAATTTTTTTGCGTGAGGCTTACTACTTTTTTAAAGGTGAACTTGCTGAAACCTTTTCATTGAAAAGAACAAGTTAAAGAGAGCCTATATCAGCAGTAAACTAACCTAGCCCATCCGTGTCCCTATTAAACAGCTTCAAGCAGAGTTTTTTATTCACTATAGTCCATAAGCGTTCACCCAAACTACGAAACGCCTCTGACGAAAAGAATTTTATGCACGGTCGTCTTGGGAACTCTCTACCTCTGATATGACAAAGTCTAATCTGCCTGCCACAAATTCAGTCACACCGAAATTTGGCAAAAAAGGTGCAATGTCTTGAAATTCACAATCCTTGCAAAAAAATATAACAGATTTTTACGCCGCGACTGAGAGCAATATTTTGAGTGATCCCACAGTATGCATTCTATGTTTTTATCGCCAATCCCTCACTTAAACTCCTTGGGAAATCACTGTCAGAATTAGGAGTAGGCGTGCTTTAAATCTTTCTTTAGTTTGTCTTCGTAAAAAAAAGCTGTGTGCGACTCAACAGTTGCAAAGGAGCCTCCATAACCTCTTACCAACTCACAAAACGAGCATATGATAAGAAACGTCAACACTTTTTGAGTGATCCTCAGGTGGGGAATGAAATTGAAACCAGCAAGTAGTGTGCGTACCTCCCCCTCCCCCTCCTTCTCTTTTCTTCCACACCTCTTCCCAATTTTTTCAAGTGATGATCTGCACTGCGTTATTGTTAGAGAAGGGTTTTGAAGTGTTTGGACCACTGTGTTCTCTATAAATCATATGTAAAGTTAGACTTAGAGCCCTTTTTTACGTAGATGCTGCGCAACTGCAATTGGTATAATTGTCATTTTACAAACTGTGTTCAATGTTCAGCATGCATATTGCGAAATCATGATTACCGAAAATCACCCACAAATATTTATTATGAGGAAGACGAAATCGGTTACTAACAAGACAATCGCAACATGCTCTGGCAAACATTCTCACTATCATATTAGTGATATTCAACAAACATGCATCGGTCGACAAAGCACTAAGGCAATAGTTAATGCTTTCTTTCCGATACGAACGGGTCTTCTGGATGTCCCTC